ATATAATATTTGTCTAATATTAGCTACACGTATTTTCATAATATTTTTCATACAGACGAACAAAACATTCTGTCACACTTTAATATAAGTATTTTTTAAATATTATCTACCTAATACATTGTAAAGGTTTTGAATATATTTAAAATTAAAATCACATGTTTTGCTACCACAACGACATAGCGGGACGAAAATATTGCAAAAATTTTCCGGATTTTTATATACCAAATGAAGTGTCCGATATTAATCGTAAGGTGAAAAAAATGTATTTTTACTATGTTCATAAATTAAGCAAAATAAAATTCTGATACATGTTTATAAATGATTAAATGTCATTCAGATTTTCGGCAAATATTTTAAATATCTTGAAATGAAATCCGCGAGACATCTTAAAAAATCTATCGCTTGGGATATTTAGCAAAGATGACAAAATATAATCATTAGAAAATATTTTGTGTTACCAAGGACGTTTGTAGTTAACACTAGAACTACCAAGACCAGTCAAAATGACTGGATTGAAATGTCTCATCCTATACAAAAAAAATTCCGCCGGTAGTGTTAGTAAGATCCTTTCTGCAAATTCATTCAAGGACGCATCCGAGCGAAATGACGAAGGATTCAGGAAATCCGGAGCAGAAGACCATCTTACACTCGAATAAGCAACTCGTAGTTTCCTTCCTCCGCCCCCTCTCCTTGACGCGTTTCCACGCATGCGTCCTTAAGCGAACCGTACTTTCTCTCGCCAAGAGCAAATCGCGGATTCCAGAAGAGCTGTCGCAACATGTCTGTGACAAATCGAAGATCCGGATCCCCTCTTCCCTAGTAGCACAAAATATTTCTCCTATATTTTCTATATATTTAATGAATATCCCACATTTTGTAAATATTTACCAGAGATTTGAAATATTTGCAAAACCTTTACTTAAGAAAATATCATCCCTATAATATTTATATAATATTAGCTTCACGTGTTTTCATAATATTTTTCTACCAGATATACAAAACATTTTGTTTCATTTTAATACAAGTATTTTTTAAATATTATCTGCCGAATACATTATAAACGTTTTAAAAATATTTAAAATCAAAATCACACGTTTCGCTCCCATAATGAAATAGCGGAACGAAAATATTAGAAAAATGTCGCGTGTCTTTTGATACCAAATAAAGTGTCCGATAATAGTCGTGAAGTAAAATTTATCATGGTAATAAGTTAAAAAATATTTCTCTATATGTTTAAACATTATTGAAACTAAATATGTCATTGAGATTTTCCAACAAATATTTAAAATATCTTCGAATGAAATCTACAAGAAATCTTAAAAAGATCTGTCGCTTGAGATATTTAGCAAAGATTACAAAAAGAAATATTTAGAAATTATTCTATGCTACTAGGGTTCGTTTTATTTTAACACAAGTATTTTTGAAATATTATCTGCCGTATACATTAAAAACGTTTTAAAAATATTTAAAATCAAAATCACACGTTTCGCTCCCATAATGAAATAGCGGAACGAAAATATTAGAAAAATTTCTCGTGTCTTTTGATACCAAATGAAGTGTCCGATAATAGTCGTGAGGGAAAAAATGTATTTTTATTATGTTAATAAGTTAAAAAATATTTCCCTGTATGTTTATAAATTATTGAAACTAAATATGTCATTGAGATTTTCCACAAATATTTAAAATATCTTCTAATGAAACCTACAAGAAATCTTAAAAAATCTGTCGCTTGAGATATTTAGCAAAGATTACAAAGAAATATTTAGAAATTATTCTATGCTACTAGGGTTCTTGGCCGAATCATCGGGCGAGTCCGGGAGATCCGACGTTCCCGAGGGAACAAAGTGGAGAGAAAAGAAAAAGCTGGAAAAGGTTTAGCCGCTCGACCGGGTACAGTACATACGGCATATACGATATATACAATGTATACAGCACGTACAGTATGTACAGTATGTACAGTTTAACCGGTCTTCGACGCCCACCCCCGCTCTCTGTCAGCTCCAACTCCGTTCTCTTGACCCCCACCGTATTCTCGGCACAAAACCAAGCATAACGGTGAAATCGACTGGGTTGAGGTGCAACAGGCCTCGGAATTAAATTTATAAGCAACAGAAGCGTGCAGATTGGGAAATAACTGTCGGGGTGAAAAAAAATATTACCGACAACGAATTTCTTTCGGATGACAAACTTATTCCAGACGGACGTCTGAATAGCCTCCTATCTTCCTAGTGTTACATCGCGCTACGAACACGTAGTAATTAATTTTTGATAACATTTATCATTGTTCATGTTTCATGTTAAAAGACCTTCTCTGTTAAAACATCGTTTCTTGACCAAAAAAAAACTCACTTCTAGTTGAAAGATAACCTAGTAGCATAGAATAATTTCTAAATATTTCTTTGTAATCTTTGCTAAATATCTCAAGCGACAGATCTTTTTAAGATTTCTTGTAGGTTTCATTAGAAGATATTTTCAATATTTGTGGAAAATCTCAATGACATATTTAGTTTCAATCATTTATAAACATATAGAGAAATATTTTTTAACTTATTAACATAATAAAAATACATNTAATATTATAAAGTAAATGTTCCGCAAATATCTCAAATGTCTGCTAAATATTTACAAAATGTACGATATTCGTTAAATATGTAGAAAATATAGGACAAATATTTTGTGCTAGTAGAGTATATCTTGGGGATTTTATGATTGCCGAATGATTATTCAGCAATTACCGATTGGTAATTAACTCTCGTGGATGAAGAAAAGGAACACGGAGTGGCCTCTTCCCCTCTGAGGACCATCTTTTGTTGCAATCATATCGATTTCCGTATTGAAGATTAACCGATGAGTAATAACTATTAATCGTCTAGGAGAAAGTTTCTAAGAAACGATTCCATGAATTTTTATCCGATAGCATTTAGTTGTTTTAAATGTTATCTGCAATTATCGCGGAAGGATAAACATTCTGTTACCCCCAGAGTGTTCCTTTCGGATAGATCGTTCTATATTTCTTGTTCTCGGTGCTACGACAATTTGTTAATGTACAGGGGAAAAGGATGAATTCATCAACCTACGATCGAATCGTTAACGAGATACGCTCAAAATACAAGAGCGAATTGTTCTTCGACGGATTGAGTGACTCAGAATCAGTCTCCTCTTTAGTTTCGCCTTTATTTTCATTTCCCTCCCTACACGAAGGTGTAAAAAAAGAAGCAGAAAGCCCGAAGAGATGCACTTCCACTTCCTTAATGATTACATTTACAATCCGTCGATCACCTCGCGAGAAATCGCCAATTTCATTGCACCGTAAAACGGACAATTCAATTAAATCACGCTCCGCGATTCCGGAAAAGAAACACACTGGCACTTGTTAATTTTCCACGTACAAGCATTCAATAACCCACTAACACTGCAAGCCGCAATTAATTGAAGCCTGGATTAACTAACGCACTTAAATTTCACTCTCGAATGCTTCACAAAGGTTGAAGTCCCTGCAATGAAAAATGCCGCTCATTTTTTATGCGCTTAAGGATACATTATTTCACCCTTACAAAATTACGGTTGCTCGCACCTCACTTTTAATATCAATATACATATTTCGGCCATTTAAATAATACAAATTAGTGGTGCCAATTAACATTTAAAGCGAGGTATATGAACGGATTTATGCAGGATCTAAGAAGTGACTCTCACCTTCCAATGAGTGGCGCTTATTCGGCTCTTTTAATATCAAAAAACATATTTCGGCTATTTAAATATAATATTACGGATTAGTGGCCTAAATTAATGCTGAAAGCGTGGTATAAGAACGGATCTACCCAGGATCTAATAAGGTATCCCAAGTCGATCTCTCCGATTTGATTTCTTTTATAATGTTACAGTAGACTAAAAACTAAGCGACACGTATTTTTTTTATCTGCCATTAAACACTTTAAGGGGGTGAAACCACCATCCAAAGTAAGGCCTGTGAAAGATGGCTTACCCCTTAATTATTTTTTTAATTGAGAAAATTATATTTTTCATTTTTCGTTATGAGAAAGCTTTTCCAGGTGGATTGGTTAAAAAATATTATGTTCTTGTGGGTGAAACTGCCAAATCGCCTCTTGACATGCCTTACTTCGGATGGTGCTTTCACCCCCTTAAAGTGTTTAATAGCAGATAAAAAACAATACGAGTCGCTTAGTTTTTAGTCTACTAAACAAATTATAAAAGAAATCAAATCGGTGAGAACGACCTGGGATACTTTCCTGGTAAGAAGTGATTCCCACCTCCCAATGAGTGACGCTTATTTGGAACTTTTAATATCAAAAAGCACATTCTGGTTATTTAAATACTACGGATTAGTGGCGTCATTTAACGTTAAAAGCGAGGTATAAGAACGGATCTACTCAGGATCTAAGAAGTAACTCCCACCTCCCAAATAAGTGGCGCTTATTCGACTCTTTTAATATGAAAAAACATATTTCGTCTATTTAAATACTACGGATCAGTGACCTAAATTAACGCTAGAAGCGAGATATAACAACGGATTTACCCAGGATCTAAGAAGTGACTCTCACCTCCCAGTGAGTAGCGCTTATTCGACTCTTTTAATAATCAAAAAACATATTTCGTCTATTTAAATACTACGGATAAGTGGCCTAAATTAACACTAGAAGCGAGGTATAAGAACGGATCTACCCAGGATCTAAGAAAAGTGACCCTCACCTCCCAGTGATTGGCGCTTATTCGGCACTTTTAATATCAAAAAACATATTTCGTCTATTTAAATACTACGAATTAGTGACCTAAATTAACACTAGAAGCGAGATATAACAACGGATTTACCCAGGGTCTAAGAAGTGATTCTCACCTCCCAGTGAGTGGCACTTATTTGGCACTTTTAATATCAAAAAGTACATTCTAGTTATTTAAATACTACGGATTAGTGGCGTCATTTAACGTTAAAAGCGAGGTATAAGAACGGATCTACCCAGGGTCTAAGAAGTGACTCTCACCTCCCAGTAAGTGGCGCTTATTCGGCAGGCACCAGCTGCTCAGAAGGGTTCAGCGAAACATCTCTCTCTCCCTTCCAGACACCCTCGTGGCACCCGAAATGTCACTAGACGCGATCGTTGGATTCCGCACTGGAGGCAGGGCGAGGTGTAAGGAGCCTCCCTGACAGATTCTAAAACTAAGCCACGAAAGATCGGTCGGCGCTGACCGTAACGGGCGACTCGTCGAGGAGTCCGAAAGGTGAAAGCCGAAGAGCGCGCCTTGCCGAGTACCACGAGCGCGACTGGCCGAGTCGAGCCTGAGCTCGCTCGGGTAGAGCCGAGTCTTGGCACACCAAGCCACGAAATCGGGACTCTACGTTCTCCTCGTGGCGATCGCCAAGTCCCGCGGCGTGAAAGTCGCGGACTCGGGAACGCCGACACGAATACGGATTAACTCGTTTCCCTGTATACATGTCAAGTATACGTACGCAAGTGGACTAGTACTTGATCGATTTTTGAAAAGAAAGGTCCGCGTTTTTTCGATACACTTTTTTTTTTAATAAGTAATAGGTCATGTTTGATAAGAATAATTGACGAATGAATTTTTGAAGTTTTCTAAAGTGACACGAATGCAAATTAATTTATTTCGCTGTGTACGTTTCAAGTATACGTACGCAAATGACCTAGTACTTGATCGACTTTTAAAAAGAAAGGCCTGGGTGTTTTGTCGATACATTTAAGTCGATAAGTCGATCGACTTATAAAAAGAAAGGTCTGGGTGTTTTGCCGATACATTTTTTGTTAATAAGTAATCGATCATGTTCGATGAAAATAATTGACGAATGAATTTTTGAAGTTTTCTACACTGACACGAACACAAATTAATTCATTTCGCTGTGTACGTGTCAAGTATACGTACGCAAGTGGACTAGTACTTGATCGATTTTTGAAAAGAAAGGTCCGAGTGTTTTGTCGATATATTTTTTTGTTAATAAGTAATCGATCATGTTCGATGAGAATAATTGACGAATGAATTTTTGAAGTTTTCTACACTGACACGAATACAAATTAATTTATTTCGCTGTGTACGTGTCAAGTATACGCACGTAAGTGAACTGGTACTTGATTGACTTTTAAAAAGAAAGGGCCGAGTGTTTTGTCGATACATTTTTTGTTAATAAGTAATAAATCATGTTCGATGAGAATAATTGACGAATTAATTTTTAAAGTTTTCTACACTGACACGAACACAAATTAATTCATTTCGCTGTGTACGTGTCAAGTATACGTACGCAAGTAGACTAGTACTTGATCGATTTTTGAAAAGAAGGGTCCGAGTGTTTAGTCGATACATTTTTTGTTAATAAGTAATCGATCATGTTTGATGAGAATAATTGACGAATAAATTCTTGAAATTTTCTACACTGACACGAACACAAATTAATTCATTTCGCTGTGTACGTGTCAAGTATATACATACTTGATCGACTTTTGAAAAGAAAGCTCTGAATGTGAAGTCGATGCGCCTTTTTCTTAGTGAATTACCGATCATATTTGTTAGGAATAATTCTGGATCGATGCTTTTATAAATTGTTTTAAATAATACGAATACAAATTCATTTGTTTCGTCGCATATGCGCAAGTAAATTAGCGTCGGGTCGATTTTCAAATAGAAAGTTCCGAGTGCGAAGTCGATACGTGTTTTTACTGATGGATTATATTTGCTAGGGATACTTTCTGATAAATAGGGTGTTAACATTTTTTTGAGGTAATACGAGCGGAAATTAGTTTCGCTACATACGTATTAAACATATGCGCGTAAATGTATTAGTACTTAATCGATTTTCGAAAGAAAGCTTTGAGCGTTTAGTCGATACACTTTTCCCTAACCGATCATCGATTACATTTCATAAGAATAATTGACGATTGAATTCTTGAATTCTTCGGCAACGACACGAATGCAAATTAACCCATATCGCTAAAGCTTGTATAGAAGGTAAAATGTTACATCGAAGGGGCCATACGGCCGATGAGGGTTAATTTATTTCACTGTGTACATATTAAGTGTACGTGCGTAAGTAAAATAGTACTGGACCGATTTTTTGAAAAGGAAAGCTCTAATTGTGAGTATACAAAGGCGATACGCCTTTTTCTCCGCTGTATGATTAAATATATCTGGTGAAAATAATTACTGATAAGATTCTTGAATTACCCTGAAGTAATACAAATACTTATTAACTTGCTTCGCTGTTGAAACATACAGTATCATGCAAACTAGTAGTGAAATGAATTTTGAAAAAGAAACCTCCGCGTGTATTCACTTAAGACGATTTTTTCATGATGCATTAGCGATCATATTTGTCGGGAATAATTACCGATGAATGAGCTTCCTTGATTCTTCTTAAATGTCACGAATGCGGATTAATTTCTTTCGCAGCGTATATATTAAGTCTACGTGTGCAAGTAAACTAGCACTTGATCGATTACCGAAAAAAAAAAAGCTCGAAGTGTATATACCATTGATAAGCTTTCCCTCCCAATGGACGATCGATCATACTTGGAGAAAATAATTACTGAAAAATAAGTTCCTTGATTTCTTCCGAGATGTCACGAATCGTTGTCCCTATTTGTCCGTATTTCTCGAGAATAATTACCACTTAACAATGGAAGTTGAAGGATGAGATGAATTTTTTAATTTCTCTGTGATTCTTAATCAGCGATATCAACATGAATTAAGTTGTTTCACAATCACGTTCAGAGTGTGCGATTAGGTGGACTCGTGAAAAAGAAAGTTCTGAGTGTATGATGTCAATATATACTTTTTGTTCCCGATGACTTATTAACGATCAATCGATAACGCTCTTAGGAAACGATTATTGCCGAATGGGTTTCTTCGATTCTTTTTTTCTTTCCATTTAAGCCTTCGCTCGATAATTCTTTTAGTTAGTCATGAAGGCGTACAGAGTGCGTATGTACTCGATTAGTAGCCTTTCTAGCTGATGACGTCAGGAAATCTCTACCTATCTGAGATCCAAGTTCGTCATGCCGTAGGCTTGGAGTCCGCTTGCAGAAGTGAAACGCAAAAGTAACGAGAACCGATAGTGGATGTCAGTGGGTGCCCATTTTCCGCCTAGAAATTTAATACGGAATAGAAATAAGAACTTTGTAGATGCAATGCGAGTGCCTTTGCGCCGCAATCGAGTTCTACTTGAAATCGTAAAAAAAAAAAAAGACATAAAACTCGACCGGACTAATTACTCGTTCCTGGTCATGCTTGAGTTAACATGGCTTCTGCAGTGGGCGACTTCGACGTCAAAAGGTAGCGGGAAAAGGAGGTTGCGGAAAATTCACGGGTGATTTCAGCTGATACTTCGACTTCAGGCCGATTCATACATATCCGTGCCGTATCCGTGCCGTGTCCGTGCCATATCAGTGCCGTATCAGTGCCGTATCAGTGCCGTATCAGTGCCGTATCAGTGCACGTTCGTGCAGACCATTCATTATGAAAAGTGTTTCGATGTTTCGAAAAACTTTTGCAATGTTTGAAATGTATGTTTGAAAAACTTTTAAATACAAATGTATACTAAAACCAGAATCAGCGGCTCTGGAAATGAAAACCGGACAAATATATACTACGTCTCGAAGAACATTTGTTTGTAAGAATTTATACAAAAGTCTACACAATTTTGAATAAAACGGTAAAATGAGAAAAGAAATCGATGTAAATGTTAATGACTGTACTACAACGCGCTTTTCTCAAAATACGTACAATCCCACTGAACGCCAAATCTAACAGTTATGTAACTTAAAGCTAACAAATAACATAACGTTTGTTACAATGTAGTAATCTAACAGTTACGTAACAGAGCTAACTAGTTGCATGACATTTGTTACTATCATATCTATATAAATATAGCTCTCATCCTACATTATGTTACTGTCCTGATATTACTGTGTATATGCAGCATATATTTGTAACAAAACAGAACTACATTGGTGCTGTCATTTATTTTATTACATCATCGTCATCGTCATTGTCTTAATTCATCGTCAAATGTCATAAGATTAATATATGTCATAGTTTGTTTATTACTCGTATGAAAGTGTTACTTTAATTCATACGCGCATATACATCATCTATCATTGTTTGCTAGTCGAATGAAATCCTAATTGTCTTTAAGTAAAATCAGATAGTTTATTGTTACATAATTTCATTGAAAGTCTGATTTGTCATTTAATATCTAACTATTGTCAAGTACCAAAGATAATTAAAAATGAAAAATTATATAACTTTGGATAAAATTGCGTGATATTTTTTATTAAATGTATGGAAAATTAATATTATTTTAAGGTAACTGAAATTATAACATTAATATAACATGGTGCACAACATGTTACCTTACTGAGTGGGAAATAATAACTAACATCTAACTTCCATCTTACTTTTATGCTACATAACATGTTAGTTTCGAAAACGTAATATTTACCCAACAGTTATATGTACTTACTGAGTGGGAAATAATAACTAACATCTAACTTCCATGTTACTTTTATGCTACATAACATGTTAGTTTCGAAAACGTAACATTTACCCAACAGTTATATAACAGTGTTCACAGGGATTGTGTATGTGTACGTAATTGAAAATCTGTATACAAAAGTATTTGAGTTTTCGTGTACGTGTCTTATGATGGTTGAACATCCGTGTATGTATACACACCGTGTATGTATGAAGGTATATACACGGCTTCGTATAAACTTGTCTTTAAATTCTCACGGAGGTGATCGAAAATTAGCATACAAAAGATTTCGAAATTTAGTGTAGATGCACTTTGAAATCCGCATACTTGGTAAATTAAAATCCCAAACGCAATTGTACCAGAAATTTCTAAACATTATACTTAGAATAAACTCGTGATTACATATATACTATATCTTGAACAGATATTTTTAAGTATTCAGACATTAATGGTGGTTATCGGAAATGGAGACATCAAGAAGAATAAACTTTCCAGTCGAGAAACCCGTAATGATTGTACTAATTTTAAATGAAGAGAAGAATATTTCACGCAGAAAAGAAAATACGCGTGGAATTCATGAAATTTACAAAAAGAAAAAAAAAGAACAAAAGGCGAATTCCTCGTAAAATTCTGATCGTGCCTGATATATTTATTTCAAAAATGATTTAACGATTCCAGACTGATGCCACTTTCAGAAAAAAAAACCTTACGATGGTAATATGTTATAATTAAAATTTAATCAAAATTGGTTCAAAAATAAAAAAGTTATTCGAGTTGGAAAAAGAAAGAACCTTAAAAGGGACGTCCTGCGCTATGAGAAAAAATTGGAATTAACCCTTTGAGTGCGGAGTCCTTTTAACATATGGGCGAAATTTATTAAAGCGTGCAAGCGATACTGGACCAAACGTCGGACGCATATATGCGGCGGTAGCCCGCAAAGGGTTAAAAACAAACGACATTTTAAAGAAAGTCCGTAAATACAACTAAACGACTTCCATCAGTGTCGACATCGTACAGTGCCGTCCGTACAGCAAAAATATCGGTTTGGATGACTGTCGGCGCACTGACACTGACATGGATGAAAGGATACGAATACCGTTACGGAAATATATGAATACCCCGATATAATTATAACAATAAGAAGCCGTTATTTCCACCACTACACGGATACGTCACGGACACGGTACGAATATGTTTGAATCAGCTTTTAGCCGATACCCTGAAAGTTAAGTAAAGTCGAAAGATCCAATATTCACGTCTCTCGTTTATCCTTTATTCGTCGTAAACACTCGGCGGCACATTAAAAGGCAGTTACCAGCGTCTTGCCCTACATCTTGGAATAAATATTAATTAAGCCTAACAACTTACCAAGAGGACGCTCCTCTCCAAGGCTTAACACAGCCCGACACTTAGACTACAGAGTGGCAGAAATTATTGTCGGTCTTTCGAAAGGTTCAAGGAGTCACACTCGCCTTGCTGTTGCTTCTTCGCGTGCAAGGTCGTCATGTCGAGCATCGCTCCGAAGTCGGACTTGACGCCGGAGACGGTCAAGTCCTCGGAGGAGTAATCCGTCGGTCTCTTGGGACCTTCGCCCAAGTCGAGGGGCTTTTTATGATCCATCGAGAAGTCGTCCATGCCGGCTTCTGCAGACATAGGAGCCTTGAAGGACTGGCGAACGGCCACGGCCGTCGCGAAGTCGTCGACTTTCCTCTCACCGGGGTCGACCTCCTTCGACACCTTGCCCGGTGGACCGAATAAGTTAGCAATGTTGCATACGTACGGGGACATCTTCGTGAAGTCGTTCAGGGCGAAGCCGGAGAGCTTCGCCAGGTCCGCGGTCGAGAAGTTCGCGAGTTTGCTGAGCTCGGAGAACTTGGTGACCTGCGATATGTCGGCCAGCGGGAAGTCGCCGGTCGCGGGCCTGAATTTGCTCGACGAGTCGCCCAAGAGGCTCGATATCTTCGAGAAATCGCCACTGGACGGGAACTCGTACTCACACTTCGTATTTTTTACGGACACCGTCAGCTCGCCCGACTGGAAGCTGGGAACTGGATCGGCTTGAAGTCTGTGCTTCGATCCTAAACTCGAGTCCTTCGCTGCCATCGCGTAGATCGGAGTAACTTCAGCTACACCATCGTCCTTATCCCGGGAAGTCGAGGGCTGAACAATTAATGATTTGGTTACGCAAACGAGGGAAGGCGAATTGATAGAGCTAGAGACTGCTGCGGATGAAGTTGACGAGGATGGTGGAATGATGCCAGCTGCAACTTACATTGCTCGAATTGTCTGTCTTGAACTTGGCCGGTGCCAGGAAGAGACTGTTTGCGCTTAAACTGCTGGGCTGGTTTAGGGAATCGGTCATCAAGGAATACTTCATCGATGTAGTAGCACTGGAGATGAATGGATCGGGTGGAGGGTCTTCGGCTCCAGGGCAAATCATCTCTCTGATTACATCCCAGTACGAGCCGTTTGATTGGTTACGTCCAGGAAGCTTGGATGCTAAAGAGCTCTACAACGTTTAACGTTAAATGTAAATTAAGTTGTGAAATATTAATTCTTGTTTCATATCAAAATGGTTCACCATTTCCTACCCTTAAACGCTCGAGATATGTTGTGTTTCCATTAAACGTAGCCATAAAGTCGATACCACCTTCGGATTTGTAATAGTCTATGCACTTTTTCTGGAATGAAGTTAACATTGAAAATACTGCCGTTAAGTAGCAGGACTTCGGAGTAGATTTACTTACAATTTCCTCGAGAGCATCTTGAGGGAGAAAGTGTTCTTGCGACAAGGAATAACTGAGAAGCATTGGTCTGGGATATTCATGGGGCCTGTTTTCAGGAGGTGGCATCGACCAAAAGACATTGAAGTTTGATTCGTAGCAATTCCCATCGGTGTTATAAGGTGCTGTGACAGAATGTACGAGCTTAGATGTAAATATCGACATAAAAACTGCAGGAATATCAACCCATCTTACAGCAAATCAGTCCAACGCATGGAGTATAACCATTATCGCTGATTCCTTTCATTTTTATCTGATAATCCAATTGCGAATCTACATCCCGTAAAGAGGGTGAAGCGTGTGAACGGGGATGAGAGTGATACCAGCCCACCAGTGTCGTTCGCTTCCATTCCATAGCTCTTGCAATTTCTAACTCTACCAAAGACGCAGCTTGTTTATCCTTTCCTGCATACCTACAGGGAAATGCATTTGTGATTGCAAGATCTATAACAAAACAGTCATTCATCATATTATTAAGTTCTTACTTATAATATATCATTGTTCACAAAACATTCTTTACTTACTATGTGCATTAATATCCCAGTGCCCACCTAAGTAACCGCATACTTCTTTATCGGAGAGGTGACAATGTAAATCGACTACAAGAGCAGCGGTTGTGGAAATCGTTACCAGGAATGGTTGTATCTTCCCAAGTGTGCTAAATGACGTTAGTTCTACCATCGTGCTCATATCCCTGTCAATTTTATCGTAAATTAATCCATGCAATGGAGTCACCACAAATTAATGATTCCAAATTTTGTTCAGCTTACATGGCATGACTTCGAATGCCCAGATTTGCATGTTTCACCGGTACTCGAACCACTGTCGCTGAATTCAAACAACTCGATCTCTCCTGACCCTCCTCCGACCCAGATTCCCCAACAATATCCATCATTTTAAATCTAAAATAACGTAGTCAAGTTCATATTTCTTTCCGTTTTAATAAAAATTCATAATAACAAACGTTTCAGGAAATCCTATTGTTACACACTGTTATATCTTCGCGGTACAATCCAAAAACGTCATACAGGCACAAAACATTGACGTATGATAAAGTAGAAGGCTGTTAACTTTACATTGTTGTCACCGGTCTAGTTTATTGTTCTTTCTCAAGAGAACTCGACCAGGGTAGGGTAGTTTCACGACTTTCGAGGTTTTTGACGTATATTACGTCAATCAAGTAGTTTAACGTAGAAAACGTAGAAAACCAAGAGAATCGTATCAAATATGGCGCACAAGCAGCGTAGGGTATGCGGTATCCGCTAGGTTATAAACATCCATCAGAGATGAGTTAATCAGAGATGAGTTGAGAGATTCATGAGAAGGATCGAGTGACCGCGTTCTGTGCGACCTCCGGTGGACAATGCAGACGGCTAATGCACTTGTCACCTGTTACAACTCTGGGCAGCCGGAGAACCGGCTGAAAAAGTGATGAACTCCTCACAAAAACTCCAAACCCTGTATCTCCTCCGAAAAAAATCACAGCCACTAACTCGAGAGATCAATTTAAACGGAACAACCTTCCCCATCAAGCTACCGTGGACGCAGTTCTCATCGCGACAAAAATTCACAAAGATCCTTTAACATATTTTAACATCTTCTACCAACAAGTGCAGAAAGCTCGATTTCGATTAACTGCCCATGATGATTTTACCAAAAATGGCTGCTTCCAGGTGATCCACCTAAACCTGCAAAGGGGCACA